AATTTTAAACACTTTTCATTTGCAGCATTTACTAACAGCTGAAGGCAGGAAAGGTTAAGAGACTGATAATTAGTCCCGGTTTGTAATTACAAACAATTAGTTTTGCACCAGCCCCTCGTTACTGTGTTCTCAGGCCACAGAATAACTGACTGTGGTACATCTCCTGAATTCTGCAAGCTGGGTGTGTCCACAACAGCAGCACACACTTTGATAATCCGTACTATACACAAAGAGCTAAATTCTGTCTAAACAGCCATAAATCACTGTAAAAGAAATGGCTCAGCCAGGATGTCATCTTAGCTAGTCTAAAACCTTTTGCATTTAAAGAAAATAATATTTATAAAAATTACCTCTCTTCTCTACAAACACACAATTTCCTAAACAGCAACGCTCAGTCTTCCCCATTACAACCTCTTTAAGAAACTCACAGGACAGATGACAACATGTTGCTGACTTTCATGCTGTTTAGGCCCAGCTTATTCAAGGAAACTTACTTCGTCCTGCAATGCTTGTCAAGTTCAAGCCTTGAAATCCATTCCAGGTAACATTTAACCACAAGCTTCTGGCCTATACACAGAAACTATGGCAGGAAATTTTATGGTCTGTGTTATTCAGGAGGTCAAAAGGGATTATCACAATGTTCCTTTTTAGCCATTGTACCTATAAGCCTTGGCATATAAGCCACCCTGGAAAGCCATTCTCAGACAACTGTTTTAAATTGGACTCTGAGCAGTCCTTGAACTCTACTTCAGGAGAAAGCAGCATTGTGAAGATAACGGTTTTACAGCTTTCAGTCCTCCTAGCAAAAATAGTGCTTGCTTTGTGTACCTTGCCCTGTTTCACACACTAAGCAGACGCCCTCTATCCAACCCTTACCACTCTCTGCAAGCCATTCCACAAACACACCAGAGCTGAAGAAGTAGTAGTCTGTCCTATAACCTGAAACTTCAAATAAGTAAAATAATTTTCCTGAAAAAAACAAGACAAAACAAAAAAACAAACCAACTTTGATGTAATTGGGATAACCTGGATGGAGTGGGAATTCCCCAGCCATGAAGACATTTTCCACAGCCAGATAGCCTTGGATAAAGTAAGCAAAATTTTCCTACCGTTTCATTCATTCAGAAGTGCTAAAGACAGTGGGTCAACAGTGGATCAACTCCTTGAATACCTCTTTCTGTCACCAGATGCATAATTTGGGGGTCCCAGAATGGGAGCAGGTACCAGAAACTCTGGATTACCCATTCTTAAGCATGTTCAGCCATGAAAGCGAGCTAACCTGTGACTTGGCTTTCCTTTGCACAGAGCAGGAATATTTGCTAAGTGGATTAGCATATACCTTTTCCGGAATCCACCACAAGGTTGTACTTCCTTCCTTCCTGTAATTTGTTTTATTTAGCCTTTTCTCTTTTAACCACCAGTAGCCTGACAAACAGGGAACGACACACAGGACCATAAAACTGGCCACTGACATGAAGGTCACTCTTAATCTTTGACATAGTGTGGCTCACACACAGAAGATGAAGCTACCACAGTTTTGTGCCTAACCACTTCACAGCTGAGCTGCACTATATGCCTTCCTACTTCAAGGGAACTGTGAAGACAAACATTTGCACCCTCTGAGGTCACATAGCAAGGCTCAGGTGACAACTGGTCACAAGAAACAGTAATTTTGTCACCTGCAGACACCCACACATTCTTATGTGATCCGCTTCAACCAACTAGGAACCTGTCCCTAGCACCCAACCAAGCATGACCTAGAACACAAAACTCATTCTAAAGCTGTAATGTTAGAAGAGCTACTTACACAGTCACTTCACTGTCTCTGCAATTCATTCTGGTTTGTTTTAAAAAAACAGTAAATACAACCAAACAAAAAAGCAATTGCGTGTTCCCTCTGAAGTGTACTGGTATTGCTGGGACAACACGCATCATAGCTGGACGCTTTTCTCCACCAGAGTGGCCTACGCAGTCAATTGCGCATCCACTGACTGTTCCAGCACATCACTCTCTTTGGGGGGTTGCACACATTCAGAGGGGAAAGAAACTGCATTCAACGTCTCCCTTGCACGTCAGAGAAGCCAGCAGCTGCAGAGCTGTGCACGCCAAGTGCGGGACGTGGCTTCTCCTGCACCACAGTAAACATCAGCCTCTTCAACCAAGTCATTACTTTGGTCCTTGGAGAAGTTATTCACACATATATCCAAGTCCTTGGCCCACAGGTATGGCTGCTGACATAGCCAAGGACAGATCAACACCTCTGATAGCAGGACTAAATGGGACCTCGTAAGATCTGCTGATCCCTTGCATCACCCCAAATAAACATCAGGATGTGCTGGAAGGAGCACAATTTAGCGAACAAGACGACATAATTCTGAGTCCTTGTCCTAGTTTCACCACTCATTCGCTGTACTTTCTCTGGTACAGATACAATCTCTGTCTTAATATTCAAGTGTCATCTCCGTTATCTTCTAGCCTACCTGTACAGTCTGGGGATGGGATTTGTGAAGCAGTGAAGCACCAGATCATATTAAGCACTGGCACCTCCTCAGAAACGCTGGCCAACAAGGGACTGGGGAAAGACTCGAGATCTTTTTAATCCCACTTCCATGGCGATCAGGAGCATTAAAGCAAAATAATGGTGGGTCAGGGGCTTTGAACTTTCTTTTTTTAATCTTACCTTAATTTTACAGGAATACTATTTTAGAGGTAGCTGGTAACATTGCTCTCAAGCAGCTTGAGTATCTGCCAGAATTTGGTTGCAGCAACTTCATAGAGATATGGGTACACTCGTGTCTCTATTTCTTCCTTTTTGTGCCACTTCGGACAGAAACCTGTCTTGAACATGAGCTAGAAATTAATCACCCACAGAGAAATCACAGAGTAGCAAAGCATGGTAGACCTACCCAGGGGCTTTTGATACTCACTTAGCCTAGAGCATATTTGGGACTGCAAATAAACTCCTCTCAGCTTGGGTCTTCAATGCCAGTACAGAAGCTGGTGACTCCAACCTCTCCTGAGGACCGTAACAGGGAAGGCAGAGAGGCTGATGGTTAATATATGTCTTGCTGTTAGACCTAACACATGGAATATGGCCTCATTTACCCAGAACTATCACATACCTGACTGTTTGGCTGCTCAAGGCTGACCAACCAGTTAGGAAGATATATGGCAGCACTAGATGAATTCTTTTCATTTTATCTTCACCATGGTGAAGAAGATGGAGTTACCTATATTGGAGGTGACTACAAAGGAAAGTGAAGAAAAAATAGCAAATTCTATATTACATCATAGGAACAAAACCCCAGCCTCAATATGGATGAGCTCCACACTGAGCTGGGAGTCTGAAAAACAACTCCTTTAAAAAAATATATTTTAAAAAGGGCCAGAGGGGATGCTGTGTACAGCAGAGGAAACCCTTGTGTCTAGACAAATTCAGTCATCCTACTTTAAAAGTGCAGGCCAGCTCCTGGTTTAACCTGGAGTGTCACATGTCACTACAAAACTCTGGAAGTGTTAGCTCTGCAGATATGCCAAACATATAAACTGTTTTCAGTGAAGTCAGTATTTTTCCACATCTACTATTGTAACACTGCTGGCAGGCTGGGAGTAGCAAGTCCTCCCTATCTCCCTCCTCTCTGAGAGCACCTCTCTGTTTAAGCACCGGCTAACTCGGATCATCATGCACAATTCCCCTTGGAAACTGGACAAAGGGGGGGGGGAGAGCCACTGGCATTGTAAGCAACAAACCACAGAAGGAGATGGACTATCGTGCAGAAGGGAAGTAGCAGGGGGAAAGAGGTGACTAATGAATAGAAGGGGGTGCGTAAAATCCTACTTGGATTGCCTCTCTGGGGAACAGCTGTTTCCTTATAAACATCTTGCTAGCTGTCCAAACAAGAAGTTCAGACACAGAACAATAAAGGAGAGCACCCGGGTAGAAGCATTCAAGGCATGGGCTCATTCACTACCCTGCCAATTGCTCCAAGTGGCAGAATTCAAAAGCCAGGGAAACATTAGCCATACGTTTAACCCTGCATGTGCTGGTGTTACAGCCAATGACCTGCAGAAACACATCCTTCTTGATCTGTGGTGAAGTCCTTCCTAGCTCTCCTTTTCCTCTGCCATTTCTGACACAACAGCAGAGCATGTTACTTGACAAAGGAATAGAGGAAATATTCTCATCAGGGAAAGGAGAAACAGCCGCAGAGCCAAGAAATGAAAAACCTGAACATGGCAGCCCTGAAGGCCTAGAAAAGTTCTACCACTGCCCTGGCATCAGCAACTTGGAAGTAGAAGGATTTGCACCAGAAAAAGTAAAAAGAGTCTTTTTATTAATCCTGAGCACAAAACAGCCTACACTAGCAGAAGCATTTCTATGCCAATACAACTGTGTCCACACAGGACTCTTGCCAGCACTGCAAGGTAGCTGCAGACAGGGAAAGGAATAGTAGTGCAAGCGTGCCAGTGAACATTCCTGGGGCAGGCTGGCCATGGAAGGGAACTACATGCACTGCACAACAGCAAGCAGAGATTGTGCACTGTGTTTGTCTGTTCCTTGATGCTTCTGGGGATCAAATGCACACATGCCTGGTCACAAACATATCCTATAAACCCTGACTCCAAAATGACACACAACCGTTAAAGGAGTGCAATCAGATCACGCGCACATCTCCAGGAAAGGAGGGGTCGCTTTGCAAGGAAGGCAATGCACAGGATAGTAGGACACAATAACTGACAATAAGGGGACCCTATGTCCTGAGCCTATAGTTCAGTTATCTACACCTTCATGTCCACCTCTGACTGACCTATCTTGACTTTTATACATTCTATTCAATGCAAACTACACTTAACCTGGGAAATTAAATGCCTCCTACTCAAAACAAACCGTAGAAACAAGAAGGTGGTAAGCACAATGACACCCTCATAGTCAGAAACAACAACAAGCAATTCCACATTTTAGAAATAGTCCACAAGTTCACAGGAAAGACCTGATGCAGTAAGATTTATTTTACCTTTTTATTTCTTTAGGGCCATTTTGTTGTAGTCGTGCACAAAAAGCCAGGAAAAAAGACACGCTAGCAAGGGCTGCTCAAGAATAAACATTCAGTCATTACAAGGGAAGAGTACAAGTTCTGCTGATCAAAATCCCTCTGAGCCTAAAGAAAGGCAGCTGGCTTCTTGCATCAAAGTCCAAACCAATCAGGGACTCCACCTCGTCTGGGGTCACCTTTCTGCCTCTGCTTCTCTCTCTCCATATATTTATTCTTGAAGTCATCAAAAGAGCGAGTTTCTGTGTCTTGTTCTTTCTCTGGAAATAGGTTGGGAAACTGAAAGGTTTGTCCTTGGCCCTGAAGAGAAAACAAATGGTCAGAGAGACATTCCAGCCTTTCTGCAGCAGCTATGATGCATATACTTACAATGAAAGACCACACTGAAGTTTCAGCTAGTGCAAAATGGTACCTCTTAACTTCCCAAGATCTCTTTCCACTCCTCTCCCCAAGACAGATATATAACCTCCCACACCCCCCCAAAAGCTAACATTCAGCCTCTCATCTTTTGTGTGCTAATTAAGGCACTGACATCTTTGTTTTACAGATGAATGGTCAGGAGATGGGACACCTCTTCAAAGACTTTGAACCAGCTCAGAGATATTGTATGAGTCACATGCTAAAAGCAAGATGAGCAAAGTAAGTGATTTTGCTAAAGTAACACCACCAGGGAAATACATGGTGGAGCAGGCATTCATTATGTTAACACTCAAGATATGAGTAGTGGTTATAGCTGTTTAGATCTCAGGTAAGAGTAAGAGAGAACAGTCCTAGCAGCTGTTATTGTAGGGTGTAATGTGGGAATACGGAATAACAGATATTAGTGGTCTCTTAACAACAGGAATAAAGACTGTAGTGTAAAACAATTACAGTGGGAACAATCTGTCTCATACATTACTAATGAGATTAAAGTGATTACATTTGCATCAGTCATTCTGCCTAACAGACAAGTCATTTTAGTGAAACATCATCATCAGATCTATGTCTCCCACTTGGAAAATAAACATTTGCTTGGTCTCTGGTTTTTATCTAACAGCAGGAAAACATTATTCTGTGGAAATGTTGTATCCCATTAACATTACCTACTTAACTCACGTGTGGTGTTTGCACTAAGCACAACTTCATTAAACCCAACAATATTAGCCCTTCCATTCTGTATGGGACTTTGCATAATAAAACTCTTAACTGATAGCTCATAACTCTAAAATTACTCTCCAAAATACTTACAAACATTACCATACATTAACTTCTTTGGCAGAATGCCACATACAGAAATCTCAACAAAAGCATTTAATTGTTTCAGGTGAAAACAGTTGGGTCGCTTTGGTTTTTTTTCAGATCAGCCATTCTTTACATTTGTGCAATAAATATAATCAAACAAGAGGCCCAGTTACGAAATGGTTCCACAAAGGACATGAAAGCAACCTTCCACAACACAGCTACCTATACTACATTTTGGGATCAGAAATGTGACATAATTAAATCAAAAAAAACCCCATCACCATGTCCCTGACCCAGGTGAATGTGTGCTATGTTTCATTTAGCCATATACACTCAACCTGGTAATTTACAGGTGTGAAAGAATTTAAACCTCAAGCATACACTTTGGAAAGAAAAAGCATGACTTATCCCAGTTGAGCTTATCCAGACTAGAATCTAGGAAATATCAACTCATACCCAGCAATGCTCCAGTTGTTTTTGTAGTGCATATTTCTTGGGGGTTTCCTAAAAGCCTGACCATACTACAAAAACAAGGGAGCTGCTGTGTACATTGCTCTTTCCTTGATTCTAGCCTGGATAAGATCAACTGGAACAAATCAAGGTTTACCTTTCCACAGTGTATACTCTGGGTTTTCAACTCTTTTGTACCTTTAAATTACCAACAGGTATGCTTATAATAGCTGTTCTATGACAATTAAAGCATAGCTCCATTTTGAGGCACAGAAACTGGCCTTATCAATGTCCTTGAACAATCCCAAAGCTGCAGCCTACTGAAACTCTTCCTGTAGTAGGATCAGCAGCAAGCACCCTTGAGGCCAAGCGCTGCCCGGGATTTTAGCACACTGAACCATTTGGAAAAGAATTTGTTCATATTACAAAAAATTACTGTGTTTTAACTGCACCGTGGGTGAGTCGCTCAGGCCCCTGGTACCTATAGAACAGATAGGGCCGATTCTAAGGACTCATCTGCCCTGGAGAGGAAGCCATTTTAGTTAAACAAGTCAGAAAACAGTTCAGGCTAACATGGTAGGCATACCACCTACACTGAAAATTTGAGAACTATTTATATTGGTAACAGTGTAGTAAGGGACTGTTCTTGTTATGCAGCACTTCCATTCTGGTATGCTTCCAGGACCAATGCACTTCCCTTATTGGAGAATGAAGGAAAGCTGTCCCTAAAGCATACTAACAACATCCATGGTAATTCACTAAGCATTGCAAAACAGTTATTATTTTAAAAGGAGGGGAAAAAAAAAAACCAAAAAAGGTATGCACAGAGGCTGTAGCAAAACCAGACAAACCTTTCAGCTGTTTATCAAAGTGCTCACAGTTCCCATTTCAAGGCTGGTGAAAGTCAAATATTGAGCTGAAAATGTCAATCTGTATCTGGAGTCTTTTAATAAATCAAAATCAGCACAGACAAGTTGGCTCTTTCTAGCTCTTGTTTTGTGAAGAAATTCTGATTTTGGCTGGCAGCCAGACACAATTTGAAACAGCCAAGACATTACACCCTGAGAACTGAAGGTTGATAAATCTTAAGTAACAATACTATGCAGTAATACTGCACTGTAAGACCTTGGAGTGATGAAAGCTGTATGAAAAATAGCTGTTGTGCATGCTCAGTAGCTAGTTTTCAGAAAAAGCCTGTATCTTGGGTATTTCAAAATTTCAAAAATACCAAAAGGCATCAACTTACATAAAGGATTGTGAGTCTGTCCAGGCATATTTACATTCAGTGAATCTTCCACACAATGCCAGAGGCTACTTAGGTTCAAGCTCCTATGCCACTTTCTCAAAAAAACCCCTACCAAAGGAACGGAGGGATCGTCACTCCTTTATGCAGTGCTGCTTTTTCTTATGCTTTTTATTTGTAAAACGTTTCCCTTCTATACAGCAACCATTTGACAACCATATGATAAATGCGTCCTCAGAATGAAATCGTAAATGAAATAAAGCAAACAACTAAATTTCTACCAAGTTCATCAGGGTTTTATCTGGTTTACAAACTGCTACAACATGAAATGTTGGCATATTCAACCAGAAAGCAAAATTTTGGCTTCTTCATAAGCCTTTCATTTGTTCACTGTTTTACCTTTTGCAATCCATTTAACCAAGGTCATCCTTTTAATTACTGAATTACTGAAGTTCACATAAGCTGAAATAAGCTCTAAAAAGGCTAGGGCTTGGTCCTCCTTTAGAACTTCTGCCAGCATAATTAACTTAGAAGCACGGAGAAAGGGGTAGAAAATAAGAACACCTTCCTACCTGATGTAACTGTGCTAAAAGAAAATCCTCTAAAAAAGACAGACACCGGCAAAAAAGTAATTTTGCTCAGATAATTTAGTCTGTCTTGGAAGTGGATACTGCACTGCCAGCAAAAGAACTTTTTCATCAATGTGAGGTGATGCACTGATACTCTGTAATTTGTTAGGATAAACTCTACCACCACATGCCCTTATATCTAAGTGAGCCCTTACAATATTAAAAAAAAAGAAGAAAAAACCAAAACATGTCAGAGAGGTGGTATTGAAACACATGAAAAATAAAAGCAACATGATGATTTTATGAAGTGCTATTCTCAATTTAGGGTCTTCCCAGAGACCTTCCTTTTTTCCTACAAATTCTAAGGTTATGTACAAGCGAGATGTGTGGTCCAGTGTTTAGATAACAGAAATGGGAGCTATTAAACTTCTACTCCTGCACAACTCTAATTCTCGCTTCAGCATTACCCAAATCTTAAACTGATTTATATGCAAGGCTTTATAAAGACTCATTTGTTAAATGCTAACATCCTTAGATAAAAAGTGACTTTAGCATCAAACAGGTATTTTTCCCTTGGATTTCAAGCCTTTGCGTTAGAAAGGGTGAAAACACACCTTGTTCTCCGAGTCTGTAGAAGGAGTTATCACATCGAGTGGTACAAATTGCCTCCATTCATTTTAATGAGAGGTTAAGTGACCATAATTAGGCCTATGAAGTCAAGTGTTAGCCCTTCCACCGCTGAGCCTCATGTCAGAAAATTTCTGGAAGGATTATCAGGCACAAACTCACTTATACTTCTCTGACCTTTGCGTCCCTTGGAAAGTTTAGGAATGGAAGGTCAGCACAGATATTATTGTGTAGGAATGACGCAGCAAACACTGATCATGTAAACAACTGTGAGATCTTCTGATTATTTAGATAATTGAAGCACTTACTACTGTCCTTCAGAATTAGGAGAAAAGTGATGTTTATAGTATCGTTAACTAAAAAAAAAGTTGGACTCCCAACAGCACGGGATTCAGTCCAGCAGTAGCAGCAAATGCAGCTAAGTTTAATAATCCACTGCATTTGAACGATTCTCCTACTGTTGCAGTGGTAACATCTGATGCTAAAACGTATGGCAAAACAGCACAGAAAGCAACTTCATAAATCCACACAGGAATGACACAGCATACGGAGCACCCAAGTTTCCTCTGAATTCACTACATGTCATAAGAAAACTGCTGTCACATCTGATGTGCAAATGAGTTAATTGCTATGACTGTACTGGACACTCTAAATGGGGTTTGAGGAGAAAGCATTTGCAAAAATGTTCCCACCAGTGCCATCATTCATACAGCTAAATAGGTGTTAGTCCCAATGTTGACAAGGTCAGACTCCTTTTTACAGCCATCTCCATCAGATTTCTCAAAACAGGTTTAATTAAAAATAGGTCTGGATTCCAGAGGCTTGTCTACAGTTGTGCTCCCACGGGTGCTAACACCTGTTGAGCTAAACCAGTGAGAATATTGAAGGAGGAGGAGGGGATGTTGTTTTTTTTTAATTTCCCTGATGTTGATGCAACTGTAAAGTTTCCCACTGGCTTTTTTTTTTTTTTTAATAACAGTAGAATAATTATAACTGTATTGGAGTAAGGAGAAAGGTTGCTGTATTAATTCATTTTATCTACTCTGCAAAGATATATAGCTTTGTTTTTAATTAAAAAAATAGAACAGTGTAAAAAAAGTAGCATTTGATACCCAGGGCCATAAGTCTCTAACTTAAACCCTCCTCACCACATTCCAAAAGGGGAAAAAAGGCAGTCAGGCTCTGGAATGGCAAGATATTGTTGATCCACAGCCTTCTATGATTTGAGGTGTTTTTTTAGTGTGAAAATATTATGCTTGGACAGATCATGTATTTGTCCAGTTACAGCCTGAGAATAAAGTAAACAGCTCTGAATCTCCAAGAAATAGTATTTGGAAAAGAAAGGACAACAATTCTTACATGTGGAACAGCTGGGGCACTAATCTGACACCTAAGGGTATGTTGACTATGACTTCATACACTTTCCACCTCTGAGACACTTTCAGTAAGTTAATGGACATGTATGTTGCGCTGGGACACATAAGGTGATGTTTTATGAAGCAGGGAAGCGTAACTGGTCACGTGAATATACTCAATTTCATTCAGGTAAACCACACCACAGCCGCTACCAAGTCATGCTGAAAAGAACAATACTTCCACCTAGTGGGCAACAGAAAGATCAACCCAAGACCTTCCAAAAACACATCCTTATTTTTCCAGTCATAAGCAGTTTTAACTTGAAACTGGATTAATGAGAGAAAACACAGCTGGTAAAAATGGTGGGAAAGCCCAGCTACTCTGACTCAGGGCAGATGCAAACTAATTCTCATGAAAATAAGGATTTTACAGTGGTTACCAAAGACTTTTCTAAATTAGGCAGATATTAACAATGGACTGCATGGGGCCTGTTACGGCCTGAATCACACCATGCATGAGAATGAAGGCAAAGCCTTCAGTTTCAGAAATGACACTGGGTTTCTGGCCTCACCCACTGTTTAAAGCTGGTGTGAACACAGAACTGGGAGCTCATTGTCTGAGACACCACAGCTAGTGATGAAAAGCAAAGAACAAAAGGAAAAAGAGAAAGGAAGGGGGTGGGAGGGGGAAGGACAGACAAACCTAAATGTTAAAGGAATTAACAGACATGAACAACAATAGAAAAAAAGAGAGCAAAGAGACCAGGAATGAGGTGAGGGGAAAATACACAGACAAAGCTTCACCGACAAGAGTTCAGTAAATGGTCAGGATTCCGTCACCTGAGATGAAATACAACATCAAAAAGTGGTCCCCTGATCCTGTTAATGGGACAGACAGAAAACAATGGCATTCTTTAAAAAATTATGGTGGTACTATAGTATAAGGCAATGCGGTAAGGGACGCTTGCTGTCTCATGTACCAAGAGTAGTCCTCAGCCACAGTGCAGCAGGGCTCTGTGCCTTGCCCAGCAAACAAAATGAGAGTCTGGAGGAATTACCACAGTTACTGCTGTGCAACTGCCTCCAGTACCAAGCTAGTCTGGATAATTCCCCACGCCACCACAGAGCTACCCTTAAGGTAATAGCAATTATTCTAGGTTCAGAAGTTTGACGTGAAATAAATGCACAAAGGCAGTGCGTTAAATGAGTGGCTTGCTCTACAGAGCAGCAGCATTTTGCTTCCCACTCCTTCCCCCTGAGTATCTATGGGTTGCAGGCTACCTCCTTCTCAACTCAGCAGACAAACAAAACTAGACTACATTAAATACAGTGAAATAAAACTGGAGAACTGACCACAGTTTGCTAAAGATCCATGTCTGCTTCAATCTTGGGAAATGAGTTTCTAAAAGCAAAGAAGTCACTAGCAAGAGGCCATGACAAAGTGCCTCCAATTACCTACTAAGGAACAACACTCAGAGAAAGCAACTTGTAAGATACATCACTCCTGGCATTCAATTCCTCAGCTGTGTTCTTAATTAATTGTTCATACCTGATCTCTCGCAGACAAAAACCTAGAACAGACAATCCAGGAGGGAGAATTTGCCCACCAAAGCAGAGACTCCTCCTTGAAAAAGGAAGGTGTTTTTTAGTCATTGTAATGCAAAATCCTCACAGAGATGAGGTTGCCTTTACCTTCAGGACAGTAAATCAATGTTAGTCATCTAAATACAACTCTGTTACTTCCTATTAACATTGTACTTTAGACTGTTCTTTTAAAGGTAAGGGCTGTTTAGAAAAACACACTCTCCTCATTTTTCTTTCCACTCCCCTTCCCAGAAGGGTCTTAGAGAAAAACATCTAAGCATATTTAAACTTTGAAAAATTAAAAAAAAACATCAGATTTCCCATTGTCTGTGCCTCTTTAGTTTGACCCCAAGTCCATACAAAGTCTTATGCAGTCTTTAAGATCACACAGTGTTCCCCCCACACTGAATCCTTGTCCCAGGATGGAGTAACACTGAGGGTGTCTTGCCAACAGTAATTTTGAGCTTATGGTTTTACAACCATAAATAGCATTCCTTTAATGTAATTTTGGTATGTGAAGGGGTTTTCTGTCACTGGTTGCATTTCTTTTTTACATAGGTAAGCCCAAGAGAAGTCTAAACTATAATATGCTCCTGTTATGAAAGAAACTCCTAAGAACATGAAGATCCTTTTCCACTGGGCAACCAACATACGTTTCAGAACCCGGTTTAGCCACAAAGCACGCTTGTTAGACATGACTAAAAGCTCTCCAAGGAATATGCCTTAGTCTTCTCTGAAATCCAAAGCTTTAATAAGAAGTTCCCTACTCTTACAATATATTCTTTCACTTACTGGACATTTCAGCAATCAACCACACAAGTCATGAACCTTCCAGCACACAGAGTACAAGGTCAGCATGAAACTCACTGGCAGAGCAGCACCATATGACATCAGACCATAACTTACATACAGACCTCAAACAAATATGGGACTTGAAAACTAACCGTTTGTTTGAATTTCATTTTTGACTGAGTCATTTAAATCTCTCTACATTCTGGAATGTATTAAAGAAAATATCATTATTAGAGTATTGGCAGAAATACTCAGCCAACCGGACAATTCACTGAACATTATTTCTAGCTTGGCTGGTTAACAGTCCCCTCCTCTTTCCCCACAAGCATCCATGTTAACTCACCAGCTGTACATAGGCGACCTTGTAATCTGGCTTCTTCACTCTCTGATTCTTGTGATTCCTCTTGTTGTTTGCACCTGCAAAAATGAAGAGTCCCACTTTTTACTTCCCAGGACTTCAAGTTTCCCAAAGCAAGGCCAACCTGAAGAGGGGAGTTCACTAGTTCTGATTTATTGTTAAGAAGAATACTCTTTCTCCAGTACCAGCACAGCATCACAATTACTAAAATGTACTGAAATTGGTAGACACTACTCTCCTCATTTACAAGTAGGGAACAGAGGCATCACCAGCCTCAGGCTGCTGACAGCCTTTGTGCTTTCACGTCACACATAAAAGTTTGCAAAGAAGCAAGGAGATAAGTCTCCTGAGTAGGGGGCCAGGAGTGATAAACTGTCCTCCCAACATCAACAGCTTCAGGAAGACAAGGAGGAAATGACCATTAAACAGCTTCAACTTTTCAATTTTTACTATCCAGCTAATGAGCTGGATCTATTGTTTATACAAGAGGAAATTACACTCCACATCCAAAAAACCCAAAGCACCTCAACCTTCTGCAAGTATGCTGGTCACAGCTGAGTGGGAAGTTCAATTTGTTCCCTGCATGTTAGGCAGACATTAAAGCTTTAAAATTATTAGACATTCTAACCCCCTTTCCTCTTTTACCCCAGAATATATACATTCTACTATCACTTCCATTAGCAGTGGGGGACAAAATGGTTCTAAGGACAAGCATGAATGTTTTTCAGTGCTGCTTGGAACTGCATGTGTTCGGTATTTAAGACTTTATTTAATTCTGGTTTTCACATAAGCATATGACAGATGATCTTTCCTTCTTCTTCTATGTTCTGAGTTTTACAACCTTATTTTGAAGATTTTTCTGTCATTCTCCATTTTTCACTATTGCAGCTCTTTTTTCCTATCCCTTTTTTAAAATCAACCCTATTCTTACCATTGTAAACACATCAATCAATTCCTTTGCTAGAGTCACTGCATGAAAAAATAAAACCCCAGCCATCAAAGATGTCCTCACCAAGTCACTCTCCATTTGATTAATGCACTGCCTGGTGATCAAAAAAGTAAATAACATGAAAATTATATTCCTGGCTTTGCACTGCATCCAAACTGCAGTCAGAGCAGCTCTAGGGAAGGAAGCATTCAAATGTAAAGGTGACATTATATAAACTTAGCTTATTTCAGTTAAAGATAGGTCTCTCTGCTCCAAGTCAGAGTTCAGCATAACTTAAACTAGGAACATTTTTTCTTTTTCTATTGGGTTGGTTTTATGTTGGGTTTTTGGTGGTCTTGGGTTTTGGGGTTTTTTTTGTAGGAGTGGCACAGGGGAGAAACACCATCAGTGGAAGCATACAAGTCTGTAGCAGAAATGTGGTAACGACAGGTGATGAAAAATTGAAAGTCTGTCAAGATGTTTTACTGCTATTACCTACTGGTCTAATAGAATACTTTTCTTTGCTCTGCAAACTTTGCCTTTTGTTAGACCACATCACCTCCTCTGTGTGCATGCCAGGTAATGTCAACTCACATTTTTTTTTTAAAAAAGGCTATGGCTGAAATTAAGTTTAATTACTAATTTTATTAAAACACATGAAGCAGTTCCTCCTGAAGTGAGACACCCACAGGTCTTCAAAGAGAAATAGTACTAACTACAAAAGCATAGCGCACAAGCTAGATAACTGTCAAGAAGACAAGGCTTTTTAAATTCAGATTTTTCTTCTTAAAACTAAACTTATGTCATAATCTAATCAAAGCATTCAAATATGAAGTGGTGCATATTCATTTGAAGGGACAAATAAACAACTGAGCTGATAGATGTCACCAGCTAAGCACCTGGAACCAAAGTTTGTTGAAATCTAATGGGCCTTCTGATAGGAAAAGTCTATTCTGGCTGTGCAGGGATGGTATGTTCACCCCTTTGGATTACTCAACTGCACTTACCATACTGTATCCTGGTCCTCACAGCAGCTACTGGCACATTGTATATTTTTTCAAGGTAATTTTTGATATCCACTTTTGTCATTCTAGGCAATGCAAAAACATTTTGGTTAAAGAAAGAAGGAAAAGTATAAACATTTAAATAAAATAAAACAGAGCCAGAGTATTTATAGACTGGTTGATACTCTGGAGTAAGTACGTCTTCTCCTTTTAACCAAGGTAGCTTTACTGCACAAAAGCATAAACTCAACATAGATCACGCACTGCTACAGCAATTCATTATCCATAAACTGTAATAATGACAAATATTCTATCTTCTGTAGCCTCAACAGTCAAAACGCCAGATATACTGTGTATTCAGCAAGAGTGGATAGGCCTTCTCACTGCCCGAGCTGAGAACCCTTTCCAATCTTCTGAAGAGCAGTTTCTAATCTTTTCAGGACCTGCCACAGGCTTGTGGGCTTTAGCATGTGCAACCAGACTGGTCAGGTTGAAAGAGCCCTGACAAATACCCGGACATCACCTTGTTTCCTCTGGATCGTTTTCATAAGCACTTCCTTCTTCCGAAGGCCAACCCTGGGAAAGCTGAGCCTCACTAACACTCAGAAAGAGGAGTCAAACAAAGCTCATACTTAAATTAGTGCCCTCGCAGCCCTCTAAAGGGTCTCCCTGATGCAGAAGCCCTATCCCCCAGCCCAAAGGGTGCTATCCGGCACTTCGCCTTCCCACCCCTCAGCTAACAAGGCAAACTGCAGCCCAGAAGAAGGCGACAAGAGGCAGTGTGCCGGGACCTGTGGCACTGGGTGTGTGCTCTAGAAGCGGCGGGGGTCCCTCTGCACCTCCGCGGCGGCGCTGGGCCCTTTCCGCGGCAGGCCCAGACCCGCGACGGCTCCCGCTGCGGGGTGGTAAGCAATGCCGTGCCCCGTCCCCCGCCGTCCCCGCACTCACTCCATGGAGACGCGGAACTGGACGGTGTCCTCGGGCTGCGGCACGCCGGGCCGCACCGCCAGCATGAAGAAGTTAGGCCGGAAGATCCGCAGCTGCGGGCCGCCCAGCTGGAACAGCGGGTACCTGCGGGGAGACGCCGCCGCTGACTGACCGACCGAGTGAGTGAGTGACTGACTGACCGACCGACCGACCGACTAACTCACTGACCGACCGACCGACCCAGTGAGTGAGTGAGTGATTGATTGATTGATTGACTGATCGATCGATCGATCGACCGACCGACCGACCGGCCGACCGACCCCCTCACCCTGGCGGCCCCCTCTCCTCACAGCTGCCCCCACAACCCGCCCGCGCCTCGGCCGGCCCCTGGGCCCACTCGGGGGGACGACACACACAGCCTTAGATGGGGGAAGGGTTCCCCAGAGGATCCACGAGGCTTGGGGAGGCAGGGGGAAGCGCCTGCAAAACGGCACCTGCTTTGCAGCGCTCAACGCGGTCTTTTCCTCATGGTTAGAGGAGGGAGGCAACTCTTCTCCTCTACGTCGCTCTGGTGACACGCCAGGAGGGGTGCTGCGTCCAGCTCGGGGGTCCCCAGCACAGGACAGACATGGGCCTGTTAGAGCGGGTCCAGAGGAGGGCCACAGAAATGGTGGGAGGGGGGGGACACCTGCCCTGTGAGGAAAGGCAGAGGGAGCTGGGGTTGTTCAGCCTGAAGAAGAGAAGGCTCCGGGGAGACCTTATTGTGGCCTTTCAATATATAGAGGGGGCTTATAAGAAAGACAGAGAGAGACTTTTTACCAAGGCCTGCGATGACAGGACAAGGGGCGACAGTTTTAAACTGAAAGAGGGTAGGTTTAGATTGGATATAAGGGAGAAACTTTTTACCGTGAGGGTGGTGGGACACTGGACCGGGTTGCCCAGAGAAGCTGTGGATGCCCCGTCGCACTGGAAGTGTTCAAGGTCTGGTTGGACAGGGCTTTGAGCAACCTCATCTAGTGATAGATGTCCCTGCCTACGGCACGGGGGTTGGACTAGATGATCTTTGAAGGTCCCTTCCCACCTAAATGACTCTCACAAATCTATGATGCCACAGCATGTGCTGACAGAGAGCCAGAGCGTGAACGTAGGCACCAGAAACAGCCAGAAGTTTGGAAACACAGCAGAGAACCACCATCCCTGGTGGACTTCCCTCCAACAGGGCGTTTCAAGGGTTGGCAGAGACAAAAGGCCCTACAGCTCACATCCCAAATTTGTGTTTTGACATCTACACTGAATTAACCAAGTAATTCACACTTTAGTATTGGGCTTTAGTATTATATGTAGGTTAACTGCCTCAATAAATATTGTAATGTAGTATTTGAATAAATCATTCTCTGTATTGCACTGTGACTTGTCTGCATTTAAGAAATGCTGTGTGCTGAAAACTACCACTTCTATGGATTTGTTCCTTTGTTCCTGATACTACGATTCCCTTCATCACTCAAACTTTTAAGTCAATTTTAACTGCATTTGGCATCCAGATTATGAGCTTGGCCAGAACAGTCAGCTTTTGTTATCTGCCTGGATAGCAGCTGTAAAACAGGCCCCCAGTCTTGGGTCTTTGTTGATGATACTGAGCCTCATTCCTAGTTGTAGAGCTGGATCAAACAGTAGTAAGAAAGAATTTGGACCAACTCCCAAATCCTTGCAAAATGGGATGCTATTAAATAAAGTAGAAAACACCATTCCAGAGGGCTGTCATTGGAGTAGGTACTGGTCATGCTTTATTTACAAAATCCAAAGATTTGTACACAGCAATCTACAGGACAGCATAGGGCTGGTGTCAGAACGATAAAGGACATGCTCAGCAGGAATTGAAGATGCCAGCAAGGAGTCATCTCAGTTCCACAGGGAACCTCCTTCCTTTTGACTGAGGAAGCCGCCAGACCCCTCCAGAAAGAAAAAGAAGAAAAGCAGCAGCAATAGCCAACCCAGACTGATGTTGCAATTTTTGTTATCGTTGAGGCGTGGGAACACAAGTGATTCATGAAGGAAGAAAGAGGAGACCAGCAGGGTTTCGGCATGCCACTAAGGGCCATCTTGCCTCGTTCTTTACTTCCAGCGCCCGCCAACCTTGCCCTTGGCTCCTGCCTTCTTGCTGCTACAATACAAAAGGAAAGAAAAACATGTCAGCACAATGGAAGCGGTGGGGCTCTGTGACCACTGCGCGTTTCTGGTGCCTAGATTATGTTTGAGCTGCTTTCATTTCTCACATGTTGGGCACACCTGCCATAGAGCACATCCTGAGAAAAATATTGTCAATATTGTGGAAGGAGATTCCTCCTCAGGCTCTTAGTGAAAGGCCAGGATGTGCATGCCTGAAAGAGGTGGACCTTTCCAGCTTTCTGCATTATCAGGACAGAAGTCCAGGTGGTCCTAAATCTAAATGACAGGCCTATCCAGCCGCAGACTAGATGTTTCCTGAATTCAAATCTGCTATGATCTGGATTTTAGGATTTAGAGCTGTTTCTGGACAAAATTTCCTCATTATCAGGGAGCTCTGGTCAAATTCCCCAGATGCTCTAGTCATCTAGTAGTGGAGGCAAAAAGCTGAGCAATAATTTAAATACCACTAATAACTGCTTTGCTCTAGCAAAGCCAGAGTGGCTTCTTCCTTATATCACAAGAGCAAGAGACTCCAAAACAGTCCAAACAACTTTTTAGGCCTCCCCTCATATCAGCATCCTCATCTTGCTCGTGCTGTGTGTGTGAGCAGTCCAGCTACACTCCCCACGCAAAACACCTGAGGCAAACTCTCTCCAAATAGTATCTTCTTGCACACAGAAGGGCAATCCTACATGCAAGCCACTTACCTTCTGACTGAGAAGCACGCACGCCTGGAGTCAGAGAGGGGCCAGGTGTGAAGTTAGTCGAGTTAGATTCTGCACTGGCTCCCATAGGCAGCACCTTGGCTTTGGGGGCTTGGCACACCACCAAACCTTTCCATCTCACACATACGGTGATGAGGCTGCTTCTTGAACCAAAGCACATGCAAACTGGGGGCAGCTGTTTGACATAGCAGATCATGGGGTTGGGGGCCAAGCACAAGGTGATGGGGCCTTGCTATCAACAGAGGGGCCTTCTTCAGAACCATTGATTCCTCCAGGGAGCAGAAAAAAATGTGGACGACGCATGTGGGGAGATTTTTGTGGTGCTGCCCCATGGATTGGTTCAAGAGCGCTAGCCATATTTACAGAAGGATGTAGCACAGTGACACAGACGTACACATAGTGGATACTTTACCTTTTGACCAAGTAAGACTTGGTCTATTTGAAAAATTGGCCTATATGAGAGAGAGCGCAAAGCGTTTTCTGCTTATCTTAAGTTCATCTCAGTGTCCCTTTTGCCAGCCTTTCCGCAGGTTCAAAACCCAGTATAGAAACTGCATAGCTCCTCAAACGAAGGCAGAGTCCTTTTATCTCCACAAGCGCCTGTGAGGTTTGATGTTATGCCTAACCTTTAGAGTGTGCTTAAGGAGACTTAATAAAGTCTGAAGCAAAAGGATCATTTGATCCTTGTATAACACATTAGCGGGCATTGCTTTGGAATGATACAGTCTAGTGTGCATAGAAATTTAAGTACACAGAAATCTCATGAGCTGTGGGCCTCTCAGTGCAACCTTTTCAAATGATGTCCTGAGAGAGTATCATGTCTTTTGGGGGACCAAGCATGCAGTAATGGTACAGCCTGTTGTGGGTGGTGTGGTGGTGCCCCCCAGAAGAGCAGCAACACCCAGACAAACCATGGCATCCTTCTGCAGCTGCACATTCTGCTGAGATTTATCAGCCTACAGCTCTGTACAGAAAATACCACGGGAAGGTCAAGCCTTATGTTTGGCATCTACAGACAACTGAGCCCCCAGTGTTACATTCATCTGATAAAGTAGGGTGGCTTGGGGAAGTGGGAAGGCAGTGTCTGGTCACTCCTGTCATCCAAAGACATCACCAAAGACCACCACTTCATTCCTGGCATGGCTTTGCTAAGATACAGAAGCACAGTGAAGAACAAATCCCACCACTGGAGAGCTCTCCTCCCTTACTTCCCTGCAGTTCCTTCCCTGTGTCTGTTAGTTTTCTACATGCCCTGGCCCCCAGGCTTTGTCTAGCCCTGGTCTGTCATAAGTTCACTGTAAACACCTAGAACAGTTAAGGATGTAAGACTCAAAAAAATATAATTAAAAAGAAGTCTTGTGGGAAGGCAAGTGGGAGAGAGATGATAAGTGAAAAGAACTCACAACAGTAATTGCATGATGTTAGTCTTCTTACACACCATTCCTTATAATCTTAGCAACCACTTGTTTACCCTTCGTAAACAATGGTTGTATTCCCTCAAGTATTCAAAGCACCTCAGTCAGGTGTTTGAAAACCCCAGCAATAAACAGATGGAAATTTTGCAGACATGGTGTGAAGAAACATGATTTTTTCTTGTTAGCTGTTACATTCACTTCAGTTTCCCATTCATTTTCTCAATGTGAGGCAGGATGGGAGTTGCCCTTCCATCTCTAGCCTCATTTCATTGCAATAAGAAAATGCTGGTGTTGAGGCTGAAGTGACTATTTTGAACACTGAGAAGATATCCCCAAGCCAGGAGCTAGGAAGGGGATATAGGTACTTACTGCTTCTGAGCCTGATCGATCCGGTTCCTGAGGGTGACAATCTGCAAACAACATACATGACCAGGGTTTTTAGTGATAAACCTTGTTCCCTCACAGAGGGGGGAGTTTTATCTGCTGAAGTGCTGGAAAGAGGTGCCTATGGTAGGGGTTAATACTTCCTTTGAAATAAAAGCTCACCTTTGCTTTAATGACAGAAATGTTACTCCTTGGCAATAAATCTGCAAGCCAATTTCACATGTCAAGGGAAAGAAGAGCTAGAATTTTATAGCCCTTATTAGAAGAATTCCTATGTATACAAATTAATCTCCTACAAACTCACATGTGAAACTGCAGGCAAGTGAACCAGAATGAGTGTCACCCTGGCTAGCTGGAAAGCTCTTGGATGGCTCCATCACCTGTATGTGTCAACCTCACCTTCTCACTCTTCCCCCTACTCCTACACATTAGGAAGTGTGTAAGCTCAAAGAGCTTCAGTGGTCTTTGGATGGGAACCTCAAGAATGGAAGATTCTGCTGGAGTACCTTTGCTGGCTGGCAGAGCAGGAGGTGAGGAGCTTGCAGCAGTCACCACCTTCCCAGCCACTCACCTAATAAGAGAAGATGACTTTTAAAGGGGCTGAAGAAGAAAATATTCAAGGAGAGCTTCAGCAGCCACAGAGGAAAAGGTTGAAGTGGGGGCTCTGAAGACCTTCAAGCTACTAGAGAGTCTGTCTTACAAGATGGAGTGTCTCTTTGTTTATCCATGGGTAAACTGCATATTTCAACCTGATGCATGGGAAAGCAAACACCTACCTTGCATAGGATGAACACCTTATGGCCTGACTTAACACCTCAGTCCTGGCCCATAGCCGTGGACTTGCTACTGAAATCCTAGGACTCTTCCGGCTCAGGTACTGGAAAAGCCCACAAGAGCTAGGGTGTGATAGAGAGCCCTCTTTTGCCCCTTCACCTTCTCATTTGTAACCAAGTCAGGGTTCTACCTAGTTTTGCTGGCGTGGAAAAATGCACTTGCCAAGACATATGCTTTGAATTACACCAAAAGCAGAGGCGAAGTCCTCCACTGGCTGTGCAGGTCCAAGAACTGATGACCCAACATTTGAATATTTAAAGCAGGACTTGACATTCCCCGCATGCAAAACAAGAAAAACAAAACTCATACATTCAGGTTGGCCCAACAACCGGTATTTCCTGGCTCTTGTCTTTCCATGGCAAACAGAAGCAAAATAAGAGACTGAAACGTTAGCGGGAACAGGACAACACAAGAAAGGAAAGATCAGCAAATCACCTGCTTTTGTACTTACTCATGGAAGTTTTAATATCTGCCACAGCAGTTCAAATTATTTTTTGCAACAGAGTATTTTTCCCAAGAGTGGAGGAGAATCAGCTGTCTTCAGTTTGACCCAAGGACTTAAGACTTACCTTCAATGATAACCTTGTGATAGTGACTATAACACTCACTTTCCAATGAAGCACCAGAGCAACAGACATTAGAGCTAAAGAAGAGCTCCGCTCTTGTGTGTCCCAGTTCCTTCCTTTTTCTCTCCCTTGCATCCTTGCTTGTGTCTCCTTCATTCCCTTTGCTGTTTGTACTTACCTTTCTCCTCACTTTTTTCCTGCTATCATCTTCCCTTTGTTCTTCTACTTTTCTTCTCCCATCTCAGCTGTGCATTTTCCTTCTACTTTGCTCATTCTTTGTACTTTCTCTCCTTGCTTTTCATCAGCAGCCACCCATCCTTTGTTTATGCAGAGGTTTTGTTACCGTAGCATATACGTCTCCCCTGGCACTGCCTTAATTCCTGTTTTTCCACACCCAGTTGACCTGTTATCCTTAAGCTAGCCCTCTCCAGTATTTTGGATGTGGGTAAGGACATGCCACAAGGTGGAGAATCTTTCCAAACCCCATACCATTGGTTTTTGTGAAGTTCGACCTATTACACATGCATCCCTAAGCTTCTGTATGTATCCCAGGTGCATCAGGGTGACTCACATACGCAATGCTAGAGTTTTGGATAGGGAATTATTTTCAAGATGGTCTGAGTGGGTTGCATGCTCAGGTCTTTAGCCACATCCCTGTTGGACCCCAACTCTTTTCCTAAATTACCACTTCATCTCTTTGCAAAGAATGGAAAGGGAGAGAAAAAGGAAGTGAAGGGAGAGACACAAGATCCAGTTTTCTCTTTTCTCTCTGCAGTTGGAGCCAAGTGCCAGTTTCTGTCTGGCACCTGGCCTCTGACCATGCAGCAGGCTCATGCATTTGGTAGCCTTTGCTTCTGCTGTTATACAGGCAAGTTCATTGTACTTACAACTTGGAAAGCTCCTGCACCCTGCAACGCAGTGTTAAAATCTAAGAGAGATTGAGATAGTTACATTGGTGTTGCTCATTCCCTGTCAGGATGTGTCTGTGTGATTGGGAATTAAAAGGAGAGCGAGAAGGAGAGAGATCCAGTAGGATTTCTCAGCCACTGAAACCTGACGTAGATGAGTGCAGCCCTGTCCTGTGACTGAAGGAAACATATCCACTTTCTGTTACCATATGACACTTCAGCCAGACGCTCCTGTCTGGAGACAGTTTTCAGTGACCCCAGAGAGCTCAGTCCACAGGGAATCTGTCTCGGATGGGAATAACCTTACAACATTCAAGTGTAAAATCAAACATGGATTTAGAAATATTACTTTGCAATGGAGATGAGTGAATTGAGAATTATGGCATTTTCAGGCCACAGTTACCTATAGATAAATAAGAATGAACAAGATGTGTTTGAGCAGAGGGTGGAGAGTCCATTTTCCATTGGGATTGCCTTTCCATGGGGCACTGAAAACCTTGAGAGCAGTCTATTCAATTTCAGCCTAAAATATGAAATCCAGTCCAAGTATGTATGTTAGGGGAATGCAGTTCCAGGTGTCTTGCTGCTTAAATATTGCAAAAGGGCATTGGAGACCCAAATGACATCACCACATGGCTTTTGCCAGAGGAGTCACAGAGATTTTTACATATTGGACCCGGTGCCGTTAGCAAAATGGCTTCTCAACTCACCTCGTATTTTTTCCTCTTGATCTGCTCTGTAAAGTCATACTTTTCAGTCTCCAGCTGGTATAACCAGTCCCACAGCTCCTTAGCCTTGTCCCTGTGTGTTTATGGGGAAAGCAAAATGGGAGAAACACACCACATCATATATTTTCTATGATTTTCACATCACTAGCAATAAGGCTTTTTATGTTTTATTTAATGCAGTTCACACATCTTCCTGCAAACCCTTTCCGTTCTCTGAAAGCTACTGACCATTTTAAAGGTCACATTTTTCTCACCTTCTCACTTGAGAACCTTTAAGACTTGCACTCTTGCATGTGTCACACACTAACGTATTTCCTACAGATTTGTTTTTCCCCCTAACTCTTAATGAAGGATTCCAGGGGAATCAGATGAGAAGGAAGGAGGACTGTGAAGGCCACCCAGGCAAGCAGAGCAGCTGCCATTGTGGAATCTCATCTGTTTCAGGGCTGAGGTGAGCCAACCTCATCTTTCAATCATGTGTAAACTGCAACATGTGGAGTCCAGACGATCATCTGATGACTGCTCTGCACCCAAGCCTCCAGCCTCGGTGGAGATCCAAACTCGTACCTTAGCAGCTCTAACTCACCCCTGGGAATGCTACAGATACCAATCTCTAGGCTTGTTCAACTAATGTCAGAGCTGGGTTTAAAGTTTGTACCTAGTCCTGTAAATGACTAATCCTAATTAGCAGGAGAGGCTAATGGAGCTATGCCAGGAGCATGGCTAGATGGCTACCAAACGATTTCAACAATTCTCCCCATCCCTATTTCCCCTCCATTCTCCAGATCAAGGAAGGGCACAACTTAACATCGTCCCGTGATGAATTTCAAGGAAGGCCCTCTCCTCTACCTCATTTTTTTACCAGCAAAGATTCCAGGAGAGTAAGACCAAATTTCAGTGGATTACATCCCGTAAGTTAGCATAAGCATGTTACCTCAGCTTATCTTCATTAAGGTGGTCGATGTTCAAGGGCTTGCGCCTCTCTGCCAGGACCTTCTTCTTTGTCTCTCTAGCTGTTTGCTTCTTTCCTCTCTTCTGATCAGCCTATTTTCAGAACATTAATTAACATTAGACTGCAGAAATTCAGGCTGAATTAAATTATTTCAGAGCATATAAGACAAGCCGCTAGGGATCCAGAAGAAGAAAAGTTGAGCTGTTTTCTCAACTTGTAATAAACACTGTTCCCAGTCAACGCCGTGGTTTAACATTTAATATTTCATCCACCAATCCATGCTTTTTACCTTAGCCAGATAGCTGCTGTATGTGGCACCCATGGAGGACAGAGCTTTCTTCTTCTTGAGATCATCCTCAGCTTTTCTCTTGGCATCTTCTTCCTCTCTCCTTGCCTTTTCCTCCTGTGGAGTGCAACACACAGAAGCAAGTTACTCTAGGGGAGACTGACAGCTTCGCCAACAGTCAGTGTCACTGCAGGGAATGTGATCAGATAAGCATGTTGATGAGAATTGGCAACTCCTGTTTCCTGCCCTTGCTTTAAGAGGGTGGTCACTTCTTCACACTGAAAGGCAGAACCTGTAGTTTTTTTCTGTCTCTAGAGTTCTCCTCCAATTGATGCTGAGACAAGGAAAGAGTTGCAAAGACACTTACTGCAAGCCTTGCCTGACGCTCCTTCTCCTTCTCAGCCCGGATTCTCTGTTGCTCTGCTCTTTCAGCTCTGCGCTTCTCCTGCAAGAAGCAGTGGCAGAGGCATTGAGTCATTATTGTGGCTTTATCTACCTCCAGTATTACGCCCTACTAGCAAGAGCTTTGGTTCATAGAGAGTGAGCTACCTACTCCCTTGCCAGAACGTGCAGAAGGGTCTCATGCAATTCTCAGGTGTAAAACAAGAGGCTGAGAGAGGGGACAGATGTGGGGAGAAGCCATTTGGTGGTGAATGAGCCGTCGCTTCTGTACATGGCAATACAGCTTTCTGCCAAAGTCTGACAGTGGACTAATGGATTCAAATTCCCATCTACAGAGGATCTCTCAATCTAGTACAGGGAAATGGCAGTATAAGGACTCACAATCCTCTCCTTGAGGGCAACCAGCTCTTCCTCTTCCTTTCTCCTGGCTTCAAAGTGGCTGTCAATCAAGGCCTGCAGTTCAATCAGGTCTTTGTTCTGCCTTTTCTTTTGGATGTCCTAGAAAAGCAGGCAAATGCATTAAGTAAGCCCATATTGCTCTAGGAATGTGCCCTGGACATTCCCAGCACCCTGCCTACACAGAGAAACAAAAGCAGAAAATGTCTGCAGGTATCTGTAGAAATCTATGGCATAAGCTTAAATGGCTGTTGATGCAGGACAGAGACAGTCAGAGATTCATCCAGGTGACAGTCAGGAGCCCAGAAGGGAACAGAATCCACATCTCCCATTCCCCTACACCACATTTTAGCCCTGGCTTTGCTTAGCTGCCTATATTTGCATATACTTAGCTGCCTCCTCTTTGCTTTTGGATATGAATCTTACCTAGAAAATGTTCCTGAATTTTTGGGCAAAGCAGATATTTTTGTGGAGATTTTCAACACCAGACCTGCTTCTTTTTTCTATCAACTTTCTAGGAAGGTATTTGGATCTCTGTTTATTATTAAAATTATATTGTCATTTTAGGTAGTGTTTCTCAGCAACAGATGCATATAGCCTGTTTTATTTCAACCTGCAACTTTCAAACCATTTACAACAATGGGACAGGGGATCTGAGATCTTCTAGAACACTTACTTTCTCCTTTCTTCACATATTGGCTTCAAAGATTCAAGGAGAAAAAAAAAGAAATACATGATTTTAGCTTAGTCACATTAGCAAGGAATGCATCCAGAGAGTTTCAGGGAGCAGAGAGTAGCCTTTCACTGAAAACAGGCAGCAAAGCATCCATACTTTTGTCCTTTACTTTATCCTCAGCAGTATCCAATACAGGAGGAGTTATGTGGGTTTGCACATGTGTGTATGGCTCAGGTACAGACAGACAAACACAGCCAGTTTCAGGAATACTTACATCAAAATCTACTTTCTCACCCTCTGGTATTTTAGGAGCAGTTAGTCTGCAGAGAGCCAAAAAAAAAAAAAAAAGAAAAGAAAAAAGAAACAAAACAAACAAACAACAAAAAAAGGATTTTCATCTTAAAGAACAGGCAGCTTTTTAAATACCACATCCTGACCTGACCTGCCCTCAGGAATGATGCTGACAAGGAGGAATGTTGATGGAGATACAGAGTGGTGAAACAGCAAGTCAATGGAAAACTACTCCAGAATAGGACTAAGGACCATTGTCCTTCCTGGAAGGTCACGCAGGGCAGGGAGCTACCCCTAAAAACCCTTTTCATTCCCAAAGCCTATGGTCATTCCCTATCACATGGGAAGACATTGGTCCACGAGGCTGTTGGTGCAGCGCTGCACACTCCGTTCTGGGCAGCTGGCAGAGTGGGAAGGTAAGGTGCTGGGACCCAGAGCCATAGGTCCATAGGAAACCTTAGTTAAGTTCAAGTCAGCCCAGCCCAACATTTGCCACCCTTCCTACTGTCAGCAGTCCGGGATGGATGGGTAGTTTCCCAGCCAGAGGGATTTACAGAGGATTTACTGTTGAGCTGCCTATATCTTGGGGTACTGTGAGACCACTGTATCTTGGACAGTTCACAAGTCCTCTGACTTTATCAGGAACTGGCCTTAAGACCCTGGCCAGTAACTACTTCCAAGGCATCCTCTGGCAGAAGCAGACATCCTGGAAAGGCATGCAGGAACAGCTGGATGTTGCATAAGGGAGGGTTGGATAAAAGCTTCTAGTGGCCATTTGCCTAATAGACAACAGCTTCTGCTAGATCAGAAAAATTATGCCAGGGTTTTGAAACTCCCTGCCCCTCATACTTACTTTATTCTAGGCTTCTCCTCTGTATTTGGAAACATGGAGCAAAACAGGAAGGGAAAAAGAGGGAGAACAATTAGAACGACAGAGATCATGCCAGCTGCTAAAGTAAAAGGAGGGAAGGGAGATTTAATCCTGGGGGAAATATCCCAGAGAACCTGGTTAATTCTCAAGGACTTCCAAAAGAAATACACACACTCACAAACCCCTTTTGCTAGGAGTGAATCTGTTTTTACCCTTGAAACAGAATTTGGCAGAAAATAATCAAGAGACTGTGTAAAAGTCCCAAACGTAGCATCTGGAAAGCAATGGTTTCATGTAAATGCAAAATTATTTTTCTCAACCCATCCTTACCAAAGCTGTAAGGAGGACAGCTGGGCTGGAGGGTAGAAGAAAATGTTGCCTTTTCCAATCAGCACTTCTTTCACTAAAGTTAACCTGAATTCACAGAAATGTCAATGATAACTAGGCTTTGCCAGTTTTGCTCAAATGCCCCACATGGAGGCCAGGAGGCAAAAAGCTTCCTGACACACATTTTCTCCAGGTTCATTGACTCCCAAGATAGCTTAGGGCACATGTCCCTGAGATATCTTGGTGCCGTGGGGAAGATGCTTATTGTTCTGCACTGTGTGGTGCTCCTCAAACCCAGCTTGAAAAGGCCATCCTCTCTTAGCAAGCATCCTCTCCTGCTGAGGTACATGCAAAATTCGCAGCATATTGCATCTCCAGGAGAGGTATAATGCCCTGACAGGCAGGCTAAACCATCACAGAGACCGTCAGCTTGGGCCCTCTGGCAGTCAGAAGTGCTCCCATGCAACAAGTGACCTTTCCCTGGCTCTCAGAAATGTGCTGTCTTACGAGTTACTTGCTTAACATTTGTGCTTGTGCTCAATTCCCCTCCCTGCTATGCCTTTTAAACTTTAATTATTAACTCCAGTGTAATGCCAGTAAGTTCAGCACTGTTATTCTCACAAACAGAAGTAAATTAAACCCAGTCTCACAGGGACCCAGGTTGACTTTCATAACCACACACTACATTTGAACTTTCAGGGATGCTGCTGGATTCTGCAGTACAAGACTCTCCCTGTGTTGGTTCAGTGGGAGGAACTGAGGTAAAAAGCTCACAGTCTATTGAATCTGGTTAAAAAAAAAAACCAGCTTTGTAAAGTAAAAGTAAAAACAGCCTCCCCTCAGGAGTGGGTGCACAAGCCCTGCTATCCATATCATGATACAGAAAACTATTATATTTTTTCAAATGCTTATTTGCATCCAGCTATTTGGGGACTGATGGAGGAAATTGGGAATAGCAAATGACACAGAATAGAATAAAATAAAATGAAACACTATAAGAGGAAAAAAATAGCAAAAACTGATACTGGAAAATATTTAGAGACATCAGTTGCAAGGATGTTGGATAACAAAAAATTGAGAAGGTGGCTGGAAATGGGTTATTGAGATAATTAAGAGAAAAGACATGAGACATGCGTAAAAGAGATCAGAAACCAACCTTTCCTTTCTCTCACACTTTCCCATACCAATTTCAGTAATGAAATTTTGGGGGGTAGGCTTTTCTCATTTACTTCAAGAACACTGCCTACCAAAACAAATCTTAATTGAGGCCTCTAGATGCTAAAGCAATGCTAATAAAATAAACAGCATGTAATTAGAAAAGTGTTTTAGAGCACTCATATAAAGGAAGCCACAAATTGCTCCTGAAGAAAAATACTATTAGCCGACAGCATACTTCTGTATTTCTCCAGTTACTTTTTAAATTGTTTTGCTTTTCAAATAGCCAGTGAGCTTCTTAACACATTAGTTAAATTGTTTTTTTTTTTTATCTGGAGAGAGGAAAAGTAATGATGATTAACCAGTCTATCAGGGATGTTATTCACACAGGATTCCCTTCCCTTGTGACATACCCAGATAATTTTCAGAAATGTTCCTGTTTAGCTTAAAGCTGCCAGTTAGCAACACTTCGGGGGGGGGGGGGGGGGGGGGAGGAGGGAA